GTACATCATTATTGGGCACGGAAGCTAGCAGCAAAATAAAATTTGAGAAGCGATTCAGAGAAATGGGGGAGGAGCGTTGGGCTAGGAAGGTATTCAGCTACTTGTACATGAAGAACGTCGATACCAAATGGAGGAATCGAACCAGAAAATTGACTGGTAAATACTTATAAAACAGCAGGGGGCCAAACCAAAAAGAATTATCGATTAAGAAGAAGCGAAGGAAGCTGAGACCAATATGTGGAGAATCGGCATGATTAAGAAGTCCGCACTAGAGATCTACTGAACTTTTAAGCAGGAAATTGCCAAGGAAAGGATCTTTGATAATACTCGGGGTAGTTCTCTACTGTTTGAGGCCCGGACGGGAGTATTGCGAACCAAGACATATCGGGCCAATTACGAAGGGGTAGACACGGTATGCAGTGCATGTGGAGAGGAAGAGAAACTGCCGAACACTTGATAGTGTTTTGTAAAGGGCTTCACCCTATAGTTCAGAATGATGACGCAGAGTTTTTCAAAGCACTAGGGTTTAGGGACAGGGAGGGCAAAGTAGACTTTAAGCGGGTAGAAATAACTAGAACGAGGTTATCTGATTGGTGGCTAAAGTCAAGGTACGAGTGAAAATTCAACCCTTCACTGCAAAGTACGAGTCCTCAACTTCACTATTGAGAGGAAAAATAAATAAATCAGCTTTTGGTTCACTAAGTAATACGGCTTGGTGGTGTTACCCACCGCCCGATTTAAATAATACAGCCATATCAATCCATCCATCCATCCAGCCTCACATGTCTTTGCACTGTCTCCGTGATCAGCCCATCTAAGACCTAGCGATAACTTCATGTTTTGACGTCATGATGGTGTTCTTAATTTCCCGATCTGTGATGTCATGATTATGTAGTAGGGTTACGTCATTTGATTAAAAACCTCTTGCATCTCTCGTATTGAAGCCACCGGCGCTCAATCTTTGCTTTTGATGGTGCCTCTAAAGCTTTCATCTTAAACTGCTTAATCACTTAAGAAGGTATCAATATAAGCGTTAGTGGGAGAGCTTTGCTATGAATAGCATTCTCGACTCGCTTCGTGGCACCGCCATAACAGTGCTTTGCGATAGTACCTGGGCCACATTTATAGCCCTTATTCACTAACAAGCCGAACCCTAGAGTGGGGCCTAATTAGTGGTGCGAGTTAAATATTTTATTCATTTAGTAACAAGAAGAGAACCGAGAAGTACACAAGAAAACAAAGAAAAGATGTGGCTGCATAAGTTTAACAACGCTTTGGTAAGGCCGCTTTAGCAAAACGACATTTTCATGCAGTGTGTCGTCAAAACAGTCCAATCAAGAGATAGGATTGGTTCGTGGTTGATCATGTCCATTTCTTGTTCGAACAGTGGCCTCTCATCGCGGTATGCGGGGCATTCTAGTAGCTTGTACTGCACTGTCTATATGCTGCCACCATTATCACAACATGGTCTTGTGGTACGCCCTATGCGGTACATGTAACTAACTGTTTGTGCACGCCACGTTAAGTCGAATACGATGATATAACGTCTCTGATTAGCCGAGGAATGAGTGGGAGAGTTCCACGCTCAGTTTTGGGTCAATACAATAAAGAAAGCTATCGCTGTGAAGTGGCAAATTTCAAAGGTAGTTTTTTTTCTTTGTAGGCATATCTTTCCGCGATGTTGCAAGCATCGGCTTCTGTAAAAAAATATTCTTCTGAAGTTCGGAATTGTAGTTCACTTCGGGCAGCTTCATCAGCTTTTTGTTTTCCGAAATACCAGCATGGCGAGGTATCCATTGAAACGTTAGCTGCGTCCAGTACCTGTAGCCTAGTGATAGATATAGGCGATATCAAAATTACAGGTTGTTGATTCCAACTCTTATGCTTGTTCCACATACTTTGCGCTACGTATTAGGCTCCGTTTGCGGACCTTCCAAACATCTTCGGGTCATATTGTCAATGATCGATTGCTAATTCAAAATTGATCTGGTTGGAATGCTCTAATGATACAGCATCTCATAAAGAAAAGCGTTTAGTTACCTTATCCTCTAGTTGTAAATCGTTGACAAATCAAGTTCACTCGGTCGATGCTTTTTCTTTCATATTTTTTTTTCTCTCTGATGAAATCTATCAGTCCACTTACCAATCTCTATACAGAGTAGCATGCCAGCGATATATAGACGCCGCGAAAATGCCTGTTTTTTCTACACTAAAGAGTTTCTCTCTCTCTTTCAAGAAATAGGAAGACAAAACTACCGAAAACCCACACAAAGACAGCGAAGAAAATCAAGCGCACAAGACGAGCTCTGGACTTTTAACTGAACGCATTTATTCGAAAACTGCTCACACCCCAACAAATGATCAGCAGCGCCAGGTCAAACTTACACACCTAGCCGTACAGAGCATGAAACGTGTGAAAGAAGGATTAAATTGAACGCGAAGCTTACCAGCTGTCTAAAACACAAATTCTTGCTCGATGAGGAAAGCTGAAGATTCGCTCACTCACGACACTTTTCCCTGCTTCTTGATTTCAAAGGCATCTTAGATTTTACGTTCTTTCTTGTTTCTATCTTTGCCAATTGCGATCTATGATTAGTATCTGGAGCGCAGTCACAATTTTTCAATGCAGAGGCAGGTTTGCACCAGTGCTTGTGGGGAAGAGATAGTGGTGTTCACACGACATTGATCCATCTGGCCGGTATAAACGAGGTTGCATGACAAGAAAATTCTGTATACTACTGAAATAGCACACTTTCTGAGCGCTTGTCGTGTGTTCTTGCTCTTCTTCATTGTGTTGCGAGACTTTTTGCTGGTTTCATGTTTCCATTACTATCACCTAACTCGCCAAGCCATGTTACTGAACCTGAATCAACAAGGTTTGGTGAACTTAGAAAAAAAAATGGCTGCCAACCGTACAGTCTGTCACGATTAATGCACTCGATAACAGCATGTTAGACATTTCCTTGAGGCGCTTTCGAAGCCACCGATAAACGATTCCTCGCACAGGCTGACTGACAATCTATAAGAATAGTGGGTGCCATTATTCCTCCCATAGGCTTCAATCTTCTTGCATGCACAAGAGCGGCAAGTTAAGTTTTGTCGCCACGTTACAAACTTCAAATTTTGCTCGCATCAGTCAGCTTTAGTGACTTCCCCTCCGAGCCTCATCTAAAGTCAGCAGAAAATGATTGATCGCTTCTTTCTAATTTGCTGCCGGGCCACAATATAGAGGAACGAAATAGTGGTACCACTTCATCGAAAGCTGGACCCTAAATTAACTGAACCTGTCATTTTTTTTGGGGGGGGGGGGGGGGGGGGGGTCGCTACTGTTGTATACAGCTTGGGGTGAATTTTCTTTAACACTGAGAAATTAGCCATAATGGCTAAGAGATTATCTTTCTCAGTTATGCTACATTCAAATGTTTATTCAATAATGACTAAAAATGAACATATTGCTACGTAGCTGACATATCAGGAGTAAGAAAACGACAACGATGGAGTGGTCTGTCGGTTGTGCGTGCTGTCCTCCATCTTAGTCGATGCTATACGCATCAGTTTCAACATAGATTCTAAATGGACACGCCTCGTGTCATTTTTACGTAACAATATTTATTATAACAGCTACGACTGATGCTGTAGAAGAGAATGAAAACGTTTACCAGCTACTGGGCCCTGCATTAGGTACAGTACTATGCTCAGAGAAGAACGACAATAGCGAAAGCGTACGAAAAGAGAGGACAGTCCAAAGAAGAGCATTTTTCTTATTCTATATGCGAGGATTCGCATGTTCCAGACGTCACCACATTATGCACCGGTCCCCGTCTGAAAGTCGCATGGTTGAACCTCGTGGGCAGTGGAAAGCGGAAGCGAACTCTTCCATGTTCTGCAGGGGTACATTTACTCTGGAATAGAACATAATAGAACTTATTACCGGAAATTCAACGAAACGCGACAATCAAATACATGCGCCAGACAAAAAAAAAACAAGAAACACATAAAGACGAGCAGTGAGTTACGTTCACGTGAATGATGGGGAGAAAACACAATCACGTTAACCTCCCTGTGTTTCCTGCATTTTAATTCTCTCTCTCTATTTCTTCAACTTTGGTTGTTGTTTTTTTTTCAGTACTAACACTACAAAACGTGTTGGTTCTTACAAGCTTTGGTCGCAACTATCAGTGTTCTTACATAAAAGTAAACAAAACTATGCTGACCATAGTTACGCCATGCTTATTTATTAGAGTTACTAAGCTTTTATCATCTTCACTGCCAAGTCAAAGAGTAACACTAGTTCCTAATTTACGCAACTATAATTCTCACTCTTGATGCTCACCGATTAAGGCATTTTCAAATGCAGCATGTCAGTGCATGGTCAGTGCAGAAAGTAGTTAGGTATAACGCAACATAACAACGTTCGCACTTTTTACTAGGTGTTCTTTGAATATTCAAGCTATCTAGTGTTACCCGGAAAGCGTACAAGCATAGTGACATCGCGTGGCATATCGACAGCAGACACGATAATTGAATAGTTGATATTTGTGTTTAACGTACAAATACCACCATATGATTATGAGAGATGCCGTAGTAGAGAGAGCGAGAGACAAGAAAAAAGGAAGGCAGGGAGGTTAACGAGATGCTAGTATCCGGTATGCTACCCTACACTGGGGTTGGGGAATAGTGGGTAGAAAGAGAAAGGGAGAGCTAAAAAAAGAAGCCGTAGTGGAGGGCTTCGGAAATTTCGACCACCTGGGGTTCTTTAGCGTGCACCCAAATCTGAACGCATGGGCCTACAGAATTTTCGCCTCCATCGAAATTGCAGCCACTGCATCTGGGATTTGCATCCCACAACCTGCGGGTCAGCAGCCGAGTACCTTAGCCACGCCCACGGCGGGGCAGCAGACACGGAAAACATGACAGAAGCATAATCTATTTGTGCTCGAAGTCACTCTAATTGGCGCTCGATGACACTCAATAAAATAAGAACTCTAACCTGAATCTGGTGCGAGCGTGTGTATCTCCAGGACGCAACAATTTAACATCTTCTCTTACGCACCATGCCTGCGTGATCAGAAACACAAATGTCATGTGCGGGTAAATGCCAGTGGCAAAGTCCGTTCGCGAGCTTGAGAAAAATATCAGGATAAAAGAATTGAACCCGTATGCTAAGGCAAGAAATGCTTACCAAATCTTTTTTTTTCTCTCATAGTTCACAAAAATACGTATTTTATTGACATCCTAAAAAACACCTATTATATGTTGGGTGACGATTAAAAGATGCACTTGTACGTAAACATGGGAGGGCAAAGTTGTTTCTGTTTTATTCCGATAACAATCACGGGGGGCAGAATAATAAACACAAATCCGGCGTCAGTGTTGCCGTCATGCTACGTATTAAGTGCACGTCAGTGAGGATATTACGGTGTCCTCGCAAACCGTGCGCTTTGGGATCAAGAGGAGCGCGCCACTGTATGAACGCATGCAGCATAAAGTATTTGTCGAGGCACTTGTATTCCTTGTCACATATTGTAACCACCACGTTCGTTTCACGCATGCAGCATAAAGTATTTGTCGAGGCACTTGTATTCCTTGTCAGATATTGTAACCACCACGTTCGTTTCCTCCACCTGATATTTACCGATTACTCTAGCAGGGCGTGTTTTACGGTCGACCAGTAAGTATTTATGAGCCTCGTTTACATGATTAACGTGTAAGGTTATCTCAGTGACGACAAAAAACTCCGTGAGATGCTGGCACCATCTTAACCCATTCATGGCACGGAAGCACGGGTGTGCAGTCCAGCGAAGAAAAATCATTTTCATTTTCATGAACACTGATATACTAGCAGCAACTCGGTGACTGCACTGCTTTATAGGTTCAAGAGAATAAATGTAGTGTTAGCAGGGGCCTAGGATTGCCAAGGTTGCCGGGTAAGATTGATTATGAGCCAATCCAGCAAGCATAAGTTGCAGTGACAAGTAGGGGCATGCTTCAACACCAGCTCAATGCAAGCAGTTCGTAATGACGTAGCGTTTCGCACATCTTAGTTCAGACTCACTGTTGCAAACGACAAAAAGAATAGCTGGTCTTGCGTGAACTTCTCGAGACCCGGTAGCGTCACTTCTGGCTTGTCTTCCGTAACTCTTAAGTAGGCCTGAAAACAACACCAGTGTGGAAGACAAAGAATAAATGAGGCTCCGTCAAAGGGCACATGGCTACAGATAGATAGATAGATAGATAGATAGATAGATAGATAGATAGATAGATAGATAGATAGATAGATAGATAGATAGATAGATAGATAGATAGATAGATAGATAGATAGATAGATAGATAGATAGATAGATAGATAGATAGATAGATAGATAGATAGATAGATAGATAGATAGATAGATAGATAGATAGATAGATAGATAGATAGATAGATAGATAGATAGATAGATAGATAGATAGATAGATAGATAGATAGATAGATAGATAGATGAACTCTTAGCATGCACTGCAAAAGCGTGCAAGTGACGCGGTGTGATTTAGTACGAGACATTTTGTGAACGAATAACAGTGCTCGGATCGCGATCAATGGAAAATAGTAATGCTATTTCAATAGTGTTCAACTGACTAGTACGAGGAGCATGAATGAAGAAATTGAGAAGAAAGAACGAAGAGAATCGGCGACTCCCTGTCCCATACTTGTCATATAGCTTCTGTTCAGCTGGCCAAAGGCACAAGTGGTTTGGTGAATTGTATATTCAATGAAATCAGCAGGCCTAGGATTAATTAAGCTGTCTTTAAGGTATGGGTCAACGCGCATGCATTGTAGGAACCTTATGTAATTAAAGTATTGATTGATTGGTTGAATTTTGATTGATTGATAGATTGGATATTTTATTCATTAACATTTCGATTCAGGCCTTTAGCTCTGGCTGGCGCAATCCTCTTTATTGTATGCTTCCATAATTCATGACTGCATATAATCTTATACCGCACTTCATGACCAGTCCTACGCATGTAATAACTTCCTTATATCCCGTATGGGCAGAAAAATCTTCAGCGTATGAGACAGCACCCCTACATCTAAATATAGATGCCATTTGGGCGTTTAATATTTCTTTGTATTTGTGTTAGTAACAAAATTCGCCTGAATGTAAAAAAATAGTGACGAAAAAGAAATGGCTACTCACTTGGTACGCCACACGCATGCCACCATTGTCAGCTATATTTTCTTCCAAAGTTCTGTTTCCGTCAACCTGTGGATTGTGAGTTTTATTTTTCTTGAATTGAATGAACGAGAAGTGTAAGCTCAGAAATAAAGGTTCCTGAATTCTCAGCTCCAAACATATGCCAACGATTTTTGCGTTAACGTTAAATACATAAACAACCCGACCGCATTTCACTTTTTTGTACAGCGAATATTTCCTTGGGAAGCAGTTTACATTTCATGAAATCCTGTAATGAAAATACATTATTCTTGTCCTTCATACGTTGCCCTATTATATCTTTAAAATGAAATGTTTCCTTATTAAACAGTATATATCGTTGTGGACATGGTGACGAGACCATGGGTTTTTATGTGTGCTTCAATAAATTCACAGTTAATCTGTCTCAAGCTGTCTCCTCCACACCTCTCAGCAATATTGAAACTTATGCATCTGCATGCCCTTGGCCACGCTTCTGGGTTATCAAAAAAAACATCGTAGTTTGCCGCGAAGCCTGCACATGACAAGCCTATGCGCAGGAGAAGATGCTTGCCACAACCTTGTGCTCACGCGATTACCTATATTTCATGTAGTCAACCATGCAGACTTAGAGAAAAAGTTTCGCCCTTGCACAGAAGGGGCACATCACTCACAACACATAAATCATGTTCGCATTGCAGCGATTGATACAGAACCAAATCGTGTGCATCTTACAACCAGCGAATTTGCAAGTTTTGTCGCCATTAGGAGCGCACAGAATGCTTCAATATAACGCCCACAGAGAGTATCGGAGTCGCTGAGCACATGTGTGGCCTGCACTGCAGTGTTTAACGTACGCAATAGCTCTACTTTTTTTTTTTGCAGTAAAGTATTATGCGCCATCTAGACGCTTCAGACACTCGGATACGATGCCTTGTTGAAAGCGAAAAGGTCCTGAATACCAAACACATAATTTCTTGTGGCATGCGGTGTCCGAGCACGCTGACCTCCACTAAAGGCGTGCCTCAGGATCAGTACGTGGTTTGGCACGCAAAACCCCAAATAATGTTATAACATTCTGTATTTCCTCTCTTGTCCTCGTTTTTGAGCGGATACTTACCGATGTAAGATTTCACTAAGTTATCGCAATGCCGATATTTTTGACGCGGTCTTAAAAAAGCCACAGGTTCGCCGCAAAGGTGACGCAATGAATGCGATAGCAACAAATACGAAGGTCACGCGCCGAATGGCAAGCAGATCGAAACGTGCCCGGCGTTTCTCAAGCACAAATGACGCACGAAACATACTCACAGTACAGATGAACGCGAATAAGAATCTCAGTTGTTACTTCGCTGTGTTTGAAAAGCGCGCCCTTTTCGCAAACGGAGAGTTTGCAATGGTTGCAGTGACCTTTGGATTGGATAAACCTTTATTTTGTCCTCCAGCAACTCAGCTTGGCACATTTAGATGACCGATACAGCGACTCTGTGCACATTTACACCGATGGATCCGTAACTTCATCCACCTCAGCTGCAGCCTTCGTGATCCCTCAACTCGGTATTTCCCGACAGTACAAATTAGATCATAGGTCATCTTCGACAGCTGCAGAAATTGTTGCTATACAAGAAGCCAAAAAAAATTGTGAACGACCAAGCACCGCGTAAATGGACGATTCTGTCTGATTCAAAATCAGCGCTTCAAGCCATCCATTCTTGCTTAAGAAGAGGCCAATTTTACGAGTTAACGTTAGGAATCGTCCAAGCATTTGACCTAACACACAGGGGCGGTCACTTGATTACACTCCAATGGATTCCTGGACACTGCAGCCTGGTTGGCAATGAAACAGCCGATAGCGAAGCAAGAGTGGCAATATACAACGCTCCTATGTACGTCAAAGTACCCTACTCGCGAGGTGATGTCAACACATTGTTGAGATCACTCATGCGCGAATGCGCTGCCACTTACTGGTTGCTACCAGATCACCGGAACATGCGCCTGCGGGAAACAGACCCCAGTATGACTTTTCGTCTTCCAGATAAAATCAGCCGAAGACATGCTAATATACTGCACCGAATTCGCCTGGGCGTCGCCTTCACTCGTCACTACACCCACCTAATCGGCCGTGTGGACAGCCCAAATTGTGAACGCTGCCAAGTGCGCGAAACAATAGCTCACATATTTTTTGACTGTGCATTATACGTGGCACAAAGAGAAATGCTAACTGCAACGTTGGCAAGCATCGGACGAACACCATTAAGTGAAAGCCACATATTGCCAGCAATGAACGACCAAACAGTATCAAAAACTGCTACAAAGGCTGTTCTAGACTTTATAAAAAGCACTGGACTAGAAACTAGACTGTAGGGTACTATACTAAGTGGCTACTGTACATATGCACCATCTCTTCTTGTCCCCATCATCCCCCTTCATCCCTCTTTCTTTCCCCTTTCCCTTATCCCCTGTGTAGAGTAGCAGGCTAGAGCGAACTAGCTCAGGCCGACCTCTCTGCCTTCTAATAAATTCTCACTCACTCTTTATTTTGTCCTCCAATACACAGATCACTGTGTTGCGGGCAGCTCCCACGTGGGGACTGAGATGCCGAGCTCCTCAACCGCCTTGCGGGCTTGGTGGACAGCCCGGAGCTGATCTGCCAAGGACGAGCTGCGGATTGCCGCCTCCCATCTGGCAGAGGTGATGTTCGATAAATGAATGAATTCGGTACACTGCCAGACCATATGTTCTAATGAAGCTATTTCCCCACAATGTGGGCAAAGTTTACTTGGGTATAGGTCAGGATACATGATGTGTAACATTTTCAAAGTAGGGTACACGTGCATTCGCAAAAGCCTTAATGTAAGTGCTTAGGGCGGAGTTAGATTTTAGGGGCGAAGCTCCTTATGGCGCGGCTTGTGCGTCCCTCGTAGTACGTAACCACCAGTGGCACATACCCGAAATAGCGGTCCTTACGATTTTGACCTCCAAGAAAGGTTCCGGTGAAAGATTTCTTCTGTGCGTTGTTGAACAATAAAAGATAGTGCTCAATGCACATGTTAATGGCTGCTAAAGGGTAATGAGAGACAAGAGCATTCGGCCTTTATGTAACGCGCACGCTGCGATCCCCATTAGCAGCTATTGGCATGTACATTGAGCACGATCTGACAAGAAAGGGTTGCTACGTTATACTCGCTGGGTGTAACCTCCTTGGTTTTAGAAAGGTTTAGCGAGCATTCGGCCGCATAGTCATGAATACAGTGAACTAGTATATACCATGAACTCGAGGTGGTTAAAGGTGGGAAGTAAACCCGAAGCGCAAGCCGTAAGAAAGTGTGCATTTGCCACCTCCTGTTTAGTCCTTGAAGTGTCCGCCGGATGGCGGTGCTTCTATATGGAGAATATATGATGAAAAGATGCGAGATGATGGTACTTGGAGTGCTCAATAGATGGACGAACGGACACACAGACTGATGCATGGATGGACGCATGAACGGACGCAGGCGCGGATGCAGGGACGGACGCACAAACAGACGCACGCACGGACGGGTGGATAAACGCATGGACGGTTACACAGACGTACGCAGGAACGGACGGAAGCAAGAACGTATGGACGGACGAATGCTTCGCCCCACTCCCCATCATTCACTCCGTGGATATGCTGCCAATTTTGTGAGGTGGAGGGAAAATCCTTCTAGACTGGTAGAAATGATTAGCAAGCTCGTTATATGTTGTAAGAATTTTCCGGTTATCCCCTTCACCAGTAGAACGAATCACCGGAGAGGCACGGTTGGAGAGGTCTCGCGTCGCCTCGTGTGCTGCTTCATTGATATTGGCAGGGGAGTCGTTGATTTGTCCAAGGTGAGCTGGGAACCAACTCAGAAGATGATGCGTTATGTTCTTGCCATGTAGTATTCTCAGCGTCTGTTCTGCGACCGTCCTCTTTGCGAATGCCCATAGTGCTGCCATGGAATCACTGTAGACGACTACAATGTTATCCATCTTCAGTGCTAATGCGATGGCCACCTGTTCCGCAATGATTGGGTCTTTCATCCTGACCGTCGCTGAGTTGACGACACGGCCAGCCCCATCGACCACCACTGTCACAAAAGCTTTCTTATTGGCGTAGGAAGCCGCGTCAACAAATACGACCCCTTGTTCCTCGTTTGAGACTTTACGAAGTATAGTCCTGGCCCTTGCTACTCTTCTTCCGATGTTGTGTTCTGGATGGATATTTAGGGTATAGAAGATACCGTGATATTCTCTCTGATGTTGCCGGGGACATCAATGTAATTGCGTCTGAATTGCCACTGGGTGTAGGCCCAGCTCCTACAGGATCATTCTCCCCGACCTTGTTGTATAACCTTACAAACTGTGCTCTCTCTTGAGCTTCTGCTATTTCTTCGATCGCGTTGTGAATGCCAAGCTCAAGTAGACGCTCGGTGCTAGTATGTATGGCTAGGCCCAGGACCTTCTTGATAACTTTTCTGAGGAGCACACTCAGTGTCTCAGACTCTGCTCTTGACCAGTTGTGCATGCAGTGACCTATGTGCGCCCGGTAATTACAACAGAAACGTCCTAGTGAAGGTCCAACGCCAGACAAGACGTACATGCACATGCTATGAGCGCCGCTACCCCGCCGCTACTACGATAATCTTTATGAAATTACGCTGGCGGCCGCGGAGAGGCGTGACAGTCTACAGAACTTGCGAAACAGTGAAATTCAACAGTTCGTCTTTTCTTTTCTACGTAGAGCTATTTCAGACAGGACGCAGCTCACACCTGCAAGACATTCGTATTTCCTTTAGTTTATTCGTTGTGGCTTCGCATTTTCGCACTTTCGAGAAAGTCACGCCTTTTTACATGTACCTCGAACGCTGAGCGGCATCTGCGTCTACATGAAACGCTGATGGCGCACCCCCGTCACTTTGCACAGCGTTACGAGATGATCGCATAATAGGAAGACTTCGCGTAGGGCTACATGTGCATATGCTCTACACCCGTAGCTTTCCCATTCAGTGCAAAAAAAGTAGTCGCCGAGTGCATGATGGAAGACATTTCATTATTGCGGTGGATTATGGTAATAAATTAAGGACACATTTTCGATGCGGCGCTTTTTGGCGCCTTTGATTTCACAGTTACGTGTATTCAACAGGCGTTCATCTCTCCCCAATCCTGCTTCCACAAATTGGCTCATCCATTTTGCCAATAAAGTGGCTCTCTTTTGGTGATTAGCTTTATGCATGCTCGCTGTGTCACTTTGATCAACCTAAGCGTTGATATATACGCTTGTTCGCTATCAACGCAACAAAATCTCTTTTAAAAGACTGATAACTGTATCCGCGCATTTCACATACTATAATGTCCCTTAATTCAATGTATTTCATATGCTAACATTATGACTTAAAGGCAGCCACAATGTTTTTCACAAAAAGGCACCTCACATAGATTGACATGCAAAGACTTAGATGGCCCTGCATTGACTATAGAAAAATAGCTGTTGAATTCTTTTTTATCATTCACTTCTACGCATGGGCGTAGTAAAAATTTTTTTCTGAGGTGCGGAGGTCAACCATACTTTAGTATGTTCGTGCTTGCATTTGGATCTGTGCGTCTATAGTGTATGCGCAAGCAAAATCGAACTTTTTGGGGCAAGGGTTTCGACCACCCCAAGATCCCTTGGCTTCGCCCCTTGGTTGCAGTGACATAACCCGCCCGAGCTTTAATGAATTCCGCAACATTCGTCGCGTACGTACATGCATCTGCAGTGCACCCATCATGGCCTCGCAGACAGGCTATTTTTACGCAATATTCGCAAAATAATCTTTCACAACAGCTGCCTATTCCGCGTTAAAATAAAAACAAAATTATGGCACAACGGTGAACGAAAGTATGATCCTACGATGGCGACCTCTATCGAATGACGAAGACATTTTACTGCGTACGCACGAAGGTGTTTCCCTGGTTTGTGAAGAAATCTCACCGACTTGTTCGTCAGGGGGTCGAAGATGCTTCCATACTGTTCCACGAAACAATTCTTCTTCTCATTAAACTTGCTCGTCGCATAGTCTGACCACCAGTTCACGTGTTTGCCATCGCCATCGTACTCCTTTCCTGAAAATGAGATACCTCTTGAATCCGGAAGTTCTATTCGGCTAGCAAACTTCCATGTAACTCAAGGTTTCCGGTGATCGTAAGCTGCCCATTTATTGCGCAAAACGGAGGTAACTATTTCGCGAAACCAATTTAAAGATTACAAAAATTTGAAATATAATTCAAAGAAGAACAAAGCTAATATTACTATTTATAGGCGTATCTCGCTATGAATTTACAGCCATTACGTCAAATATACTCGACTTTGTCGCAAGCAACTATTCACTGAAATGATCTTCTTTAGCATGACGTCATCATTCCAAATGTAGAAAATTTAGGGCCGAAGTAACGGGCATCCTTTTTGATTGGTGTGTTATTAACCAATCGTGTAAGCATGTTTTTGTGCTTCTTTTAATTTTTTTATAATTATTTATTGTGCTCTGTACTAACAGTCAGCAAGCAGCCCCACCGTGGTGGTCTAGTGGCTAAGGTACTCAGCTGCTGAGCCACAGGTCGCGGGATCGAATCCCCGCTGCGGCGGCTGCGTTTCGATGGAGGCGGAAATGTTGTAGGCCCGTGTGCTCCGAGTTTGGGTGCACGTTAAAGAACCCCAGCTGGTCGATATTTCCGGAGACCTCCACCACGGCGTCTCTCAAAATAATATGACAGTTTTGGAACGTTCAACCCCACATATCAGTCAGCAAGCATTGTATAACGAGGTTATCATACTCCTGTTATTATTTCTCTTACGTAATCCCTGCTCACACAACCCTGATTTAGAAGTGTGTGAGGTGATTTTAATAACTACATACATACATACATACATACATACATACATACATACATACATACATACATACATACATACATACATACATACATACATACATACATACATACATACATACATACATACATACATACATACATACATACATACATACATACATACATACATACATACATACATACATACATACATACATACATACATACATACATACATACATACATACATACATACAGCCCCGCCGCGGTGGTCTAGTGGCTAAGGTACTCGGCTGCTGACCCGCAGGTCGCGGGTTCGATTCCCGGCTGCGGCGGCTGCGTTTCCGATGGAGGCGGAAATGTTGTAGGCCCATGTACTCAGATTTGGGTGCACGTTAAAGAACCCCAGGTGGTCAAAATTTCCGGAGCCCTCCACTACGGCGTCTCTCATAATCAAATGGTGGTTTTGGAACGTTAAACCCCACAAATCAATCAATCAATCAATCATACATACATACATACATACATACATACATACATACATAAACTCACTAATTTTGTGAGCTTTATTCGCTTACGTCATACGACATCATGAGCCATCATACGGTACACGTAATGGCAAGGTTTCCACCTATTTTAAACCACTCTGGCCTCCTTTCAGAGGTTGTTTGTGTCTTAAGCAACGAATAACTGAATTCGAACCTACACTTTCCTAAAACAATAACTACATACCAGTTTTCAGACTCAACAGCAAATCAAATGGTGTCAAAGCGTAGGCTGTACTGATGTTCTATGATTGATGAAGCTCTTAATTTATTTTCATTTTTTCATTATTTCAATGCTGCAAAGGTTCTTTTTTTTAATTAGACTGTGGTTTCGAATGCCACATAAATAAACCATTGTGCGCAACGATTCGCCTTTGAGATAAGTCACCTTAAAATTCTGCCATTTCTTTCACATCGCGTAGCAAGCATCGCCTGAGGTTTCCACCATATTTTTTCATGGCGCGTAGTATACGTCATCTGAAGTTCCCGCTGCTTCTGTCTCAGAATTTAGCATAAGTCACCTGAAAGTTCCGTCATTTCTTTCATAGCTCATGGCATACGTCGCCTGAAGGTTCCGAAATTTCCTTCGCAGCGTGCAGTGTGTGACACCTCAAATTTCCGCCATTTTTTTGCACAACGCGTAGCGTACTCATTTCAGGTTATTAAGCTTCTGTATCCTCGGTGTTTTACCCTAGTGAGGTACTGACGCCGATTCACGCGTCAGGTTTACCACACGTTTTGCATGCCGTATATCTCTATACCTTTATCGCCAAAGCCGTGGGTAATCTCGTGGGCCATAGACCGTCCTGCTGTCGCTAGGTTTAAAACCCTGGGATGAAAAAGAACAAATTAATGTTTTTGAGGTGACTATGCAAAAGGAAGGGATATACAACACGGGCGGTGGTTGCTCAATGGTTTTATTTAGTCTTCAAGAACTTTTTGTTGATTTTTTTCCTCATGAATGAAAGTCCTGTTATTAAGAGGTTCAAGAAATATTTCTCGCTACCTTAAGTAGCTATCTTTTGTGGATTCCGTACTAAGAAAAACTATAAGCTGTGATTACTGTCACTGCTCCCCAAACCAAAAAGTATTTGCATAGGTGACTCATTTAATTAACTTATCCCCCTTTTGTGACGTCCCCCAGTTGTGCCTACTTGAAATAGCCGATGCTGCCAAACTCAAATAAATGTTGTCCGAGTAAATCAATCACAATAGGAAGATTTTGTGCAAGGTAAGTTGAACGTGTAGTCAAAAGAGTAACAAACGCACAGACATCATGTGTATGCTTCACACGTATCAACTAACATTTGTCAAGATAGCCCAGCTATCAATCATACACGCTTTACAGGCAATGCATGTAATCAGATGTGTTCATTTGTGAAGTCAGAAATTTGTCCGAGCACAAGATGATATACTTAACTAGACGAAGCCACCTTTGCATTTTCGGTTTCGGGTTGTAAACTTGAACGTGCCGGCAAATTTCATCAGTGATTCTAGCTTACATCAGCGCTGATAAAACTAAATATTCGAAGTAAGAAGGACAGTTGTTACAGTAAGTTATTTGACATGTTTATATCGAACTATAGTAAAGACAACTTACATTGTGGCTGCAGGTCTAAATCTGTGAACGTGAAGCGCACACTACTATAAGCTCACATATATTCATACTCGCATTTGTTTTACTTAGCAGAAAAGAATTGAAAACATGCCTTTATAAGGCTTCCTGTTAAGCTTACTATGAAGCATATCACGTGAAATAATACCTGTGCTAAGATAGCATGCTTCCAATGTTTTCAGCTCGATATTCAAGGGATGTTGACTGAAGATGTGTTGTGAGTTGAAACATTACTGTGGAATGAAAACTTTTTGAGTCAGAATCGACGACCACATTTTAGTCTTATACTTTTATACAAACCTGATGTCTAGTCCCTTTCAAAATTAACCATATAGATGACGTGGAAATGTGTCATTTATGATGCCAAAGTAAAGTTATATTTTGTTCAAAAACCTTTGACACCCCCCCCCCCCCCTTCCTTTTCCCCAGATTCAATGTCTCGGCCCTTGTGGGGATAAATTTAGTGACTGTGCCCGCTGGCTTAGCAGAACTTGAGGTGTAAAGGCTCAGCGATAAATCGTGGAAAATTGAAAAGGGTCGAAAATTGCGTATTACGCTATTAACGGAATAAGCACTTTGTAAAACGAAAATTTTAAATCAGCATAAATGTGTAATGAAAGTATAAAACGGTGATTAGCATTTCCGGCTGCCATAGCCTTTCAGTGACAACGTATCGCGTTCAAGGTTCGAATACTTGTACGTTGAACTCGGGGCTTAATGTTTCAGTAGTAACATGGGGTGAAACTTACGGTGTTCAACTATGATAAACTCCCTGTGTATATATAGGGTGGAGTAAAATGAGACACGCAGCAAAACGCGGCATTTTGCTTTGCCGACCTTGTAGGTAACACAAAAACTACATTTCTTTTTTCTGTTTCCCAGCGATAAGTGCTGGTCCTTGTATAAGTTTCCATGTGTAAGTTGATAATTCTTCACAGCGTTCTCACGGGAAAAATAACGCCGCTCGTGTCACTGTGTTTGTAAACCGTCAAAAAGGGCTGAAATTGTCTTCGACCAATTTTCACATCCGTACAAGAAGCTGCTCCTGCATCGGTACAGCGAAGTAACTATTTATTATGTTAGTTTAGAATGCGAACTACATAACACTAAAATTTTAGTTTGTTACTTAACAGCAAAGCTGTTATTACATCGCGACACGGTCACGTGTGGCGCCGTAGTTATCCGCCGCCACTGCCGCCTGTATCCGTATTCATTATAGCAAAAAGAAAAAAAAACACCAAGGACACAATGAAATTCGAACCCGGGTCCTCTCTGCTTCATCCCAGAGTTTCATTACTGGGCCCCGCCGATGTTTAGAACTTCTTTGCGAACTGGCCTTAGGCATGTTTGTGGTCGGAAAAAGATTCATGGTAATGTGAGTAATAAAGCGTTCTAGAACAGCAAAGGAACAACAAGGTGTCACATAATGTGAATTGTGCATCGAGTGGGTCGTCGTCGAATGTTCCAACCTTTTACGAAAGCTTCATCTGGTTCAAATACTAACTGCAGGTTGTACCAACTGTGGGTGATTCTCGAGAATACAAACATTTGTGGCATAATTCTGTATCGTCGTTGACCACAGCATAAAGATAGTGCACAAAACTTCTTGCGAGTGTGCAGCGGGTACAACGCTTCTGCGAATAATGACGAAGGATTGCATAATCAATGCATGCCTACTACACAATAATTAATGGTGTAGGGGTACCTTGCAAGTGATCTTGAAGCAGCTACCCAAAGACTGTTTGAAAAAGGTTCTGAAAGACCGCTCTTCCAGCTTCCGCTGTGACAGTGCTGCGTGTTCCACGCAGGCTTGGCGATTTTTTGTCTTACCGTTCAAAATCATAGAGCAAGTGAATGAATTTATATACTTGTATAGGCCAAACTTCCTTAGCCGACCATCTATACAGAGTCCTTCACTTCAAAAATGTAACACATGGTGTCTGTAAGTCTGTTTCTACCCCCGCTAGCTTCCTCAGCACAAGTGCCACCCATCCGGACAATTCCAGCTATTTTGACGATTTCAGTTGTAATTAGTGACTACAAATATACCATCGAATAAAGCTCTCCTACTCAACGGCCAAATTCTCATATTCCTTAGCTTTTCAATATTGACCGAAAGCATGCAACAGTTTATTATGTCTATGGCACATTCTTGGTAAACGTTTGTCTGTAGAAGCATTTACGACAGTTTATGTGCTGCTCGCACGTCAGTAAAGAAATGGAAACTTACAAAGGCATATTTTCGTTGAACATAAAGTCCTGAAGGAAGCCCGCCTGGATCACTGCAAAATAGCGGGCAAATGTACATTTCTTGAAAAAGCATGCTCTTTTTGTGACTTCGTTGAAGTGGGGGGAGGGGGGGGGCACAGGCGGCCTACTCTCATTCGGAAAGAGTGGCAAATTCAAGGTCATGACATGTGGGCAAGTATTAGGGACGAACTGATGCTCCTATGTCACAATGCCTTAAGTATGATTTTTCACGTTTCAAGAGTACACTCGCTAATTCCCAGGAAAAGTGCAGTGTCTTTAGTTGGGAAAACAGCCCTCCGATTATCGTTGGGGTCATTGGTTTCTTCTTGTCTCTCAAAGCAGCCCTAAATTTCATTCGATTTTTCTATATCACTTGCATTTCTTTAAATTCAAAGAAACTACACAAATGTTAAGTTCACATCTCACGTCACTTACCCAAAGTGTTGTAATTCACCATGTAACGACTATGCCTCGTCGAGTAATCAAACGTGAAATCTCTGAAAAATAGGGATGCAAAATGTGGCTGAAACAAATGTCGATCGCCGAAGAAATGCGCGTCGCTTCCTCTTAATTTCTGTAAATTCTCAATACGTAACATTTAGTATTACATTTGTGTCAAACTAGGGGCCCATGGAATGCATGCAGCCTGCACACCTGTCATTGAGGCCCATGACCTCACACGGAAGAAAGACTGTGGCTTTGCTCTATAATACTCGCATTACTTTCTCGCCTAATGAAATAAAAGCGCTTTGTTTGTGCAAATTACAGAGACCAGACTGACGTCAAGCCTTTCTTTGTGAGACATGTCATGCGGTACTTATGAGTCTAACCATCACAGTGCAAGGAAAACTATATTTCGGAACAGTCATACAGTATTCAGTTATGGTGGAAAGCAGTATTGATATCACTTTCAAAAGCTTACGACACATCGACTACGAATAATGCTCAAATAGGTGATATAGGAAAGGCGTTCTTTAGAATTTTAAAGTTAGGTGGCCTTTTGTTCGAACATTCTTGTTTCTTCTCCTTCGTTTTTAACTTCTTAACTGCCCGGGCTTTTGCGGGACTAAAATTCAGGACGGCGGCCTGTTAGCTGAGGTAACTGTGAGGCCTTTCATGTACATGCTCTACGATTAATTCTTAAATAATCAGGAAGGCGAGAAACTAGTTATTACATCATTATCAAGATAAGTAATTGAGAAATAATGATAATTTCAGCGATCATAAACTGCGTAACAATTCATAAAGCAGTATTCAGCATTTAAAGCAGCCGCGGAATTTCACCGATAACGTATCGTATATATGCCAGGTTGAGATATGCGTAGGCTGGACTCAAAGCTCAATGTTTTAGCAATAGCAAAGGGTGCATTTACAGTGTTCAGCTCCGAGGAGCTCCTTCAGAATACTGTCATTGCTATGCCAAAATTTGCACTGGCTTTCTTCTCGAACGTTTTGTTGTGTTGTTAGAACTTATAAAATTTGCTGGATTCTTGGTTGCTGCTTTGTAGTTTTTAAAAACGGGTTGTTCGATTCCTGTTCACTGTAGTGAGATATATACTAGGGAACACATTTTAAGTCAATGAACACGCACAAATTTACTAACAATCAATGTAAGTAAGTTTGTATGTTTTCACACCCATTTTTCAAGCTATCGGGAAATCCATACATGACAGAAGTTTGCCAGTATATATAAAGACAAAAGGTTCAACAGTAGTGTAATAAGGGGTGTTTTCAAAGAAAATGCTTGAAGTGTGGAATGGGCTGCGTCAAAGAAAGCCTTCTCAAGAATGCGAGTTCTATGAAGAAAGAATGAATCCAGCATCCTTTTGTTGGACCACTCTTCTTTACGCGGTGAATACAGCTTCCTAAATATAATGCTTGAACCGTTCCCCGGTGCAACAAAGCCGTGGTGTTGTAGAACATATAACTGCTACGTGCCGAGAACCCACGGAAATCTAATTTACAATAAAAAACTTTGTAGTGCAATACGCCTGGTACACTGTGTTCCTCCAAGTACTTGTTTTGCAGCTCAGTATACGCTCAGCATCTATTGATAGGAAAAACAGGCCTTCTAGAATATTTTAACGAGCACACTTACCGACTCATCTTCTCACGGGATCTGAGGTCGGACATCGTCGAGTACATTGCATTGCAGTCGAAGCGGAGAATGATTGAAGACAGTGATTCGTTTCGAAATACTGTTCCAATCTGAAAGAGGGCGATTCAGCAACGAGAATGTGTAGGCTACGTAGAAACCACAGTCGACGAATGCACAATAAGAAACATTGAAGCTCGAAGAACGTCGAAACCACGCTAACCATTTATTCGGCTTTACCTCTCCGCGTGTAACAGTCTTCAAACGGCAAGTTTCTCGATGCTAGACATAATAATAATTAGATCTGCCTTACAAGAATGTCAAAAAAGCATAGAGTAATTTTTTTCATTATTACAACGAAAATGTGAAGAATGTAATGTGGACAAGAAGATAACAAGCTGCCTGCAGCCACTGAACCTGCGACCTTCGTATAACGCGTCCAATGCTCTACGCTAGAGCTGCAGCATCGGTCTTGTTTGCTTCATTTTGTCGCCTGAAAGATCTTGGCTTATACCCCCAAGGAAGATAGGCCACACTGTACCTTATAAATAAAATTCACATACAATGCGTCTTAAAGAAGAGAGATTGGAGAGAGAAAACGGAGAACGAGACGTAATGTACGTAAAAAAATGAAAAGGGCAAAAAGGATTTGAAAAGCCAGAAAGAAAAGACATAAAATAGAAGGGGGACAAAGAATTGTATCCATTTGTTGGTACTAACAACGTACCCTTCCGGTCGCCTGAATGAGTTTATGTAGCGCGGACAGAATAACACTCTGGCTCGTACCCAACTGACTGGCTCCAAACGATAAAAGGTTGGATGTAATAAATGCTAATGCAAGCATACCCATCGGCCTTTCAAGCAGCGTTCATCTTCCAGTCCACTTTATGGAGCGTGTATGCATATTTGAACCCCAGAGTGCCTGGGGCGGCTCGTAGCCATGGCGGCGAGTGCGAAACACTCCTTTTCTTCCTTCTGTCATCATGAATCATGTGACATGTTGAAACAGTAGTATGGGTAAACTACAGTAACTGCACCTTACGGTCTTTAGAGAGTTTATACTGAGCGATTACATGTTTAAATTGCAACGTTATTCATGTAACCAACCTCCCAATTGATTGCTTTTGTACATGTCTAAATTATAAATTCGTGAGGACACATGCAGGGGCAACATTTGTGCAGATATACCTTAGCTATTAGGATAATCGTTTATTGAAGTTTTCTTCACAAGGAAGCAACTGAATATGGAAGAAGGTCTCATTATTTATGAGATATCCACAGACGCCTGTTTGTAGCCAAGGAGAAAAGATGACGGTGTGAATCATTGTCCGTTGACTTGGTACGCACGGAGTAGTCCAGCTGAAACAAATAAAGCTGTTCACATGGGGGGTGCTAACTTGCAGCATACCGGTTTCGTAGCTGCAGGCCGAAATCCAAGACTCAGACATGGTCGCAACCATGCTGCCCATGCAATCAGAGATTTCGTGATCGGCTTTCTCTGGCGTCATCAGAGGTCACGTGATAACACTACGCTTTTGCGGCCTCAGCCAGTCTCGCGAGGTATCCTTAGGTCTGTGCAAGTCTTGCAAGGTTTCCCGACTCACGGACATAAAATGGCTTAGCCTTTAACTATAAAGAAGTCACTAACACGTAATTTGAGTTATTCGCATAGTAGTGAAGAGGTCCCTGGCAGAAAACAGTCAAGTGTCGCAAAAGGGTAACATGAATAACAAGATGGGGCTTTAGAACTTTTCGCTAGCCAGGATTATTGTGGTACAAAAAAGTGAAGCAATTGATTAATTGATTGATTCACAGAGTGATTTTTGGATATCAACACTGAAGGCAGAACATTGTCTGCCTAAGTAGTGCCTTGTCACCCCTACATTGCTGTAACAACAAGGCAGCACACAAGGGTATACATAAAATTGGTGCAAAAATAACATGAATGTGTTACATGTAAACAAAAAAGCAGGCAGTATCTGAAAAGTAACTGTTTTGTATACGCTAATATATTTTGTAATTACAAAACGTTGACAAGCACAATGTGGCATCAACAACGTGACAGAGAGAGAGAGATAGAGAGAGAAAACATTTATTGAGTTAAGCTTGTGAAGTGAAGGTGGGAGGGTTCTTTATTTCAGAAACCCTCTGGCCTGGACAGCCCGCCGGGCTCGAGCGACGAGTTGACGCTGCTCGACCAAGTCCGGCTGGGAAATCGCAGCCTCCCACGCTTCACTAAGGAGGTCTTGTTCAGCATATGGTGCTGCTTGTAGCCTTGGGACACTTACTTTGCACTGCAGTAGGAGGTGCGCCAGAGTGTCTGCCACATTTCAGTGAGGACAGATGTATCTGTGCAACGTCGGCCTCATATGGTGCAATAGTACGCCGTGGATAAACGTGTTGCTTTGAAGGCGCCTGTAATCAGTGCATTCGTCTCTTTTGAGTTTTGGATGTGGCGGAGGGTATGACTTCCGTCCGAGCCGATAATGTTATGATACGTTAGCGGTTCGGGTTCTCTTGCCTCTGCTTCTGTTGTTGAGTGGGAGGTGCCTCGGATCTCGTACGGGAATGCCCGGTTGACGCATTCGCGGGCTGTGGTGTGTGCCGCTTCATTTACCTCGAGACCTTCGTGTCCCCTAACGCAGACGACGCATGTGTATGGGAAAGAGTGTTCATCCGTTTGTTTTAGCAGCTTAATCGGCGCCGTGGAGACCCTGCCTTTCAGGTAGTTCCGTGCCGCTGTTTGTGAGTCAGTTAAGACCACGGTGGGATCCTCACTCATCTGGGTGGCGAGTGCTGTAGCAGCCCCTTAAGCTGTTTCCGCACATTTCGCGAGCATAGTCGCCGATGCCAGTACCGCGTCCTGTATCTGTGACGGTAATTGCGAAGGTGTTACGTACCGGATACTTGGCTGCATCCACGTATCGCGCCTGCGGGTCATTGTGATCGTTTTTTTCCGGATCATGTTAACCGCGGCAAGCCGCCTTGCTCGGTGATGTTGAAAATGCATGTTTCGAGGGATCTGCTGAATTTAAGGCATTCTCGGTGCTGTGACGGTATTTTGCCTTTGCGTTCTTCGTTGGCTTCTAGGCTGTTCCCGTGTACCCTGTGCGTCGAAGAATGGCTTGCCCTGTCGGTGACAGCTTCAGCCTATCGACCTGGTTGATGAGTTCTTCCCACGTATTGTGAACAGCCATGGGAAGCAATCGGTCAGGGGAGGCGGCTGGGGGCAGTCGTAGCGCAAGCTTTGTAGCCTTTCGTATCAGCAGATTAAGTTTTTGTGTCTCCGCTGTCTTCAGGTTGAGCTAGGGAGTTCCGCACGTTATGCGGCTGTAAAGGAGAGCTTGTACTATTTTTAGGGTGTCGTGCTCTTCGAAGCCACTGCGGTGGTTAGCCACCTTTCGGATTAGGTTGGTGAGCTGTGTCACAGTGTTCTGCAGCCGGGGTAGAGCAGCGGAGCCAGACCCATCTTTATGTATATGTAGTCCAAGGACATGAAGTCTGTCAACTTGTGATATTTGGACTCCTTGTAGAGAGACTTGTGGGTCAGGTGCGTCGTAGCTTGGTGGTCTTCCCCGGATACGTGCCCCAAGCAGTTCTGACTTTTCCGGAGCACATTGGAGGCCGCAGGCCTTCAGATATTCTTCAGTAATTTTAACCTCCTTCTGAAGTCGGCCCTCCTGTTCCCCCGTGCTTGCATCTATTGCCCACATAGTGATATCATTGGCGTATAACGCGCGATGTATCCCAGGGACAGCATCCATGAGTCATGGGAGCTTAAGAAGGGCCAAGGTAAAAGCAGTGGTGATATCACGGAGCCTTGCGGCGTGCGCTTATTAGGGAGAGGAAAAAGCTCGCTCCGGATATTGGCAATCCCTACAGTGGCTGTGCGGTTGTTGAGGAAAGCCAGCAAGTAGGCGTATGTTTTGGCACCGCAGCCGACATCTTCAAGGCTACACAGAATGGCTTCGTGGCTCACATTGTCAAATGCGCCCTTTACGCCCAGAGCAAGAACAGACGACTTACTGTGCTTGCTCAAGCGGAAAAGATAATCTTCATTTATCTGCAAGAGGACGTCTTCTGTGCTGAGCATTTGGCGGAATCCAAAAATGGTGTTCGGGTAGTGACCGTTGTCTTCGAGGTGTATGGTGAGCCGCTCGTTTACCATGTGCTCAAAGAGTCTCCCAGCACAAGACGTAAAAGAAATGAGATGAATATTCACAATCGAGATATGTTTGTTTGGCTTGGCCACCATGGTCACCTCCGAGTTCTTTCAGGCTTGTGGTAGCTCACCCTCGCTCAAGCAGTCATTATAGTGCCGAAAGAGCGCCGTCAACGCCTTGGGCGGTAGCTGTCGTAGGTGCCTATTGGTCACTTTGTCTTTTCCTGGGCTCGTGTTGCGCGTAGGCTTAGCGAGGGCCTGCGTGTAACTCTCCCTGCGTGAAAGGCTTGTCTAGTGCTTCGTTCGGTGCTCCTCGGTACTCCCTGGGTGTCGAAGAGTTGATGGAGGTAGCTTGCTAGTTAACAGAGCCACGTAGCTTTGCTTGAAGGTTCTTCGCGTAATTTGTACTCTGTGCCCTCATAGTTGCGGATTAGCCGCTGAATTGTATGTCTTTGATGAGTTTTGGTGTGGGTGTTGTCAATCAGGGCTCGAAAAATGCGCCAAGAATAAATGTATCAGCTTGGACACGTTCGTGAAACTTTCAAGAGAATTCAGCAAACTTGAAAACTGGGACGGAGAAGAATGATGAAAACACAGCGCTGACTTTCAACACTTAATTTCTAGGACAGGAATGGTGAAGGCGTTTACATATGCTACTGACATGCCCCACAAGCAGATAAAAATTTTAAAATCTATTTTACTCCTATTGTTGAAACCCAAGCCGGGTCTGAGCTCTAGAATAAGGCTTTACTGACCTTCCCCTAGATCGCTAACATATGGTTGAAAAGAATTGTGCACTAGGAGGTTGTTCCACCCAGATTCTCAACCAAGGCCTCCCGTGTAAGTATGTTATAGCGGAGTTACTGGCGCTGTGGTGCATTGGTTCTGTGGCAGTACTAGTCTGCGTGGAATAGAGTCGGTATGGAACCGAACACTAGGCAATGAGGTGTATTCAGGGCTTGTATTTTGTGCTGTGTAAAGTTATTAGGCAGGAAATGTGTTTGCGCTTACCTCAAAAACGCTGTTTCGTTTCTCGAAAAGGCATCAGCTGGTCTAGGAAACTCTCCGGGCTATGAAGAGGGATTTGAGGCGGGTACATAGTTCATGATAGCGTTCGGCGCGGTCCACTGTCGGCAGATAAATTTCAGGCCAACGCTGGGAAGTAAGCACCAGGGTCTGCAGGAACCGCAAACTCGAACGTTGCGCGAGTTAGCGGTTCCTGCAGAACTCAGCTCCCTGTAGCTAAACGCCTTGCCTTCGTTCTCTCGTCTGCGCTGACAAGACACTATCTCGCCATGCACCTTGCTCCTTTCTATCTTATCTTCTTTCCATCATCTTTAATTCTCTTTTCCCATCCCTAGAGGCCCTGCACTGTGCCTTCACTAAGCAAGTTAGAAAATAGGGTCCTTTTTCAATCTTCCTTCTTCATAAAACGACTCTACCACAGCTGATTTCTGAAATCACTGATGCCGACTTTATTATAATCCAGCTGCTGTCAGAAAAGCGCACGCAACTGCAATCGTGGCAATAGATTCCCTGGTTGCCTGGAACCCTATTGTATGTGCACCTTATCATGTGTAAAAAATGTTCAACAATTTAAATACGATGTAATGTACCATATGAATGAAATAGGCGGTTTCACTTTCAAAAAGCGAGTTGTGAGCAATTCGAGAGATCTTCTCATATAGGCACTCATTCAAGTTTATCTCTTTCCACAAGAGGAACGAATCACGTATACATCGTCACAAAACAGGAAATCCTTTCTGTGATGATTGTACCGCGTAGAACATAAGGTGAAAATGACTCATTTTTGCTTTTCGTGCCACTTGTGAGTAGCATATGTATATATATTCATCCTTCCCGTCCTCCGAATAAGCCATGTGAAAATGACTCATTTTTGCTTTTCGTACCACTTGTGAGTAGCATATGTATATATATTCATCCTTCCCGTCCTCCGAATAAGCCATGTCAGCGCTGTGTGTGCGAGTCGCCCTTCATTGCGCCCGTCTTTTAATGCGCTGTGCTCCCTTCACGACGAGATTTCTGTGAGCGTCGAACAGTCGCTTGTTTGTTGCTTGTCCACATAGAGTGGCTCCCTCAAATATATTCTTTATGCTTTTGACTAAAAACTGCTAAAAAGAAGCACAAATTGCGCCTTGGGCATCAACTAAACCGCGTGGAACTATCAAGGGTAACTACCACACTGACTGGTATATCTTCAGAAGGCTTTGACAGCAGATTTGCCTGAATGAATACTGTTTTGTTTTAAAAAATCTGCTGAAACGTCGAAGCAGCATGAAGATAGTTCATGAGGTAAAGTTAGGTAAGAAATAACGAGGCAGCTCTATTGCTGCTGTAGACGCCTCTGGTGGGCCCATCACTGGTAAATTTAAAGGCTTACCTAACCTCCGTATCCTTCCTGAAACTGAATTTCTCTTTTGCATTTGACAAAAAATTTAGCATCTAGCGTAACTAGAAAAATACGTAGTAAGCTCATAGTAAAAAACAGCCGGAAACAACAAGCGAGAGATCAAAGACAGAGGACGCGTTGTCTTTTCACGCTGATTTTTACTATTTATGTATAACAAAAAGGTCAAGTTCACACGCTTATCAACATAGGAATGTTTCGCACTCACTCGGCTGTACAATGATTCCATGAAGCTGTTGTTCAGATACTGAAGCGGATAACCGACCCGGGGCACCATCTTGCGCAGCTGCAAAAAAAGAAAACGCCAGAAACAAATGAGTGAGTTGGGTTATAACGTCGACTATACTAACAAATCAGTAACTTTCTCACACGTTTTGTAATCCAAGTGGAATTTTACCAGATTTATTTAACCAAATCAACAGAAGCAGAGGCCAGTTCCAGGCTAGTTGGTACAGTGACCGATGCATGCGGCGTAGTAGAGAACATGGACGACAAGCAGACCGGGACACCCAGAGAAGCCGACAAGGTCGTCCATTCTCTACCACGCAGTATAAATCGGTAACGAATCACCAACTGGCCCAATCGGCCGCCTTGATTAGGTACAATGAAATTATGAAACCGCTAAGCGCGAAAACCCGGGGAGGAGATGGTGACACTCAGAGTACTCGTGTGTCAAAACAGTTAATGCATAGTGGGTCATAACAGTGACACACAATCAAGTAGACCAAATCTCACGCACATGCAGACCTTGCAGGTGTTTTATATGGTTGGCGGTGGCGTGACCGCGATATATGTATGTATGTATGTATGTATGTATGTATGTATGTATGTATGTATGTATGTATGTATGTATGTATGTATGTGCGTACGTACATACGTATGTATGTATGTACGTATGTATGTATGTACGTATGTATGTATGTTTCTAGTTTTGACCTATGTGTTAGGAACCTTATGTAACCCTCTCCTGCTAGAATGGTGAAGAACCGTCTGCAGTATTCCTTAAATAAATAAATAAATGTATGTATGTATGTATGTATGTATGTATGTATGTATGTATGTATGTATGTATGTATGTATGTATGTATGTATAGAAACAGACTAAGAGTTAGAGACGACATACTTCACTCTCTCCGGCTACATCAATGCTGCAGTAAGCCGTAGTGGTGTTCACAAAGGTATTCGATGGAGTTTTTTTTTCTTACAGTAATGTTACTATATCCTCCCATACGTCTGCATACACTACAGATGCGTTCAGATCAGGGGTATCTGATTAATCGTTCGATCGGCTCTATGTAACATTTCATGTTCTTCTTGGAACTAAAGTAGTTTGTCACACATGCAATCTCCGTAATGACGCCTCCGCCAGCTGTGCTGTAAAGGCTACAGAACCAGGTCAGTTGAAAAACTAGCCGCACACGTCCATCCTACCTCTGGCAAGAAAGTGCACGACCAAGGCCGCAGACACTCCTCTCTCCCAAGAAAGAACAGTTCCTCCGAAGACAAAAATGGATGGAAGCTCAGAGTATACAAATGTTCTAAAAGTGAAAACAGATCATGGTGACGGCCTTGGGAAGGGCCTCGCACTTCCTACTTACAGGCAAAAGGTCCCAAAACAACTAAGCTGTCCTGCAAAGCGACTAATTCAGCGGTGACAAAATGTAACAAAGCGATTCACTCCCAGAGACCACAGAAACCAGCTTGTACGACTCTCCAGATTACCATGTCAACTACTCGTTCACCTGTCAGGTGTTGCTTGAACGCTTGAAGGGACAGTTTGGACAAATCGAGGATGTACCGTGCCGCAGCTCTCTACTATCTCGAGCATTGGGTCCAAACACCGCAAGAAGTCGCGCACGTGGACAAACAGAAACGATGCTGTTGTGGCGCTCCTCGAAACACGGTTGGCACCAGAGGGAGTAGCAGGCCTGGCGTTCTGCCAACGACGTGGTTTTCGAAGTTATGTATACCAGGTCAAACTTGCTGTGCGTAGCGACCAAAGGAGATGCGTTAGAAAAAAAAACACGGCCACGTTAAGCACTTGTGAACCAGTACTGAGGCGCACGGCTGGTAATAAATAGCGTATCTCGGTGTCCAAGAAATAGCGGTCACGCTCTTACGCGGCGCATTGGTCACCAATATAGCAAGCGAAACAGGAATTACAGGGCAGGCAGGCGGCAGCTGACAGATGAAGAGATAAACTTGAAGCCACTGTGGACGCGTTGTTGCCCAAGTGTACAGGTTCCATCTTTTGAAAACTAAAACCAGGAGCCTTTTCCTTATCAGGAAAATGGGATCGATTGAAGGTTGGCGTGGGTTTGCCTAACGTACTACTTTACTTTTAGGGGCGAACCTCCTTAGAATGTGGGTCGTTCCTTCGTGATAGTATGTTGTAATAGTAGACACTTTTAGTTTGTTTTGATATTTGTTCACAACATGGCGTTGTATGTATAAGTCTATGCAAATATTATGGCCAGATGGCATTAGTGGTTGTCGTATATTTTATGACTAAAAAGGATAGATGGCGCTTTTATAACGATCAGTAGGTCGAAACGTCCATCCGTCCGTCTTTTTGTCCATCTCTATGTCACACAGACGGACCGACGGGGAGGCGGGCAGAGGGACGCTTCACCCCACTCATCATCATTCACTCCGTGGATATGCTCTGAATTTTTTAACAGCGGTGCGCTTTTAAGCTGACCATTAAAAACAAGCACGACTCCACCTGGGGATCCAGTATACATGGCGCTAAACTACTACCAGAAGGTAGTAAAAGGTAGGCCGGGATTCGATCGGCTACCAGAAGGTAGCGGGATCGAATACTGGCCGCGGCAGCGCAGTTTCGATTGAGGTGAATATGCTTGAGGCCCGTGTATATAGATTTAAGTACCCGTGAAGAGCGCCAGGAAGTCAAAGTTTTCGGAGCCCTTCACTACAGTATTCTTAGTAATCACTACAGTGTTCCTAGTGGCTTTTGGACGTAAAAACCTAGCAATTATTACTGTTAACGCGCAGAGCGAACAGGAAGCTATCATTCTCGGGAAACGGTACACACGAACACGCTTGCAATCGGCGCACCTGAGACGGCTGCATTTGTGTACCTTAGGCGCCAAATCAAATTCAGAGGCGAGCGTTAATTATGGTATAGTGCGGCAGCCCTTCGTGTGGGATGAGGCACTGTGATGTGTGGTGCGCGTTCAAAGTGCGCGCCTTCGAAAAGTGCGCGTCACGGAAAAAAAAAAAAAAACAAAAGGAGAAATACCAGAGTGCACGTGCGGTGCTGCTTAAACAAGAATGACGACGTTAAAGAGCGTCAAGCACGAGGATGCGTGGCAGGACGTGAAGTAAACAAAAGGTAAAACATCCAATGGGCAGCGAACACGGAGATTTCAAGGCCCAATGGCTTGACACCACGAAAGAGCAGTGTCTCCAATGAGAACGAGACAAGTGGGCCAGAGCTGAAGCAGGAGCCTGAGCAGACGAGAGCAAGGGGAATTCGAGGCAGGCAGTGCAAGCGGAAGGTCGTCACCGGACCGGGCGCTGAAGATGGGCCGTTGGGTTCCGGACCCGAGCCTACAGGACTTCCACCGGCCGGGGCCTCCTGCTGTCGGGTTCCCGCTCCAAAGGACCGTGGCCATCCGGTCCTGAACTCCTTTCCAGGGCCTGCGGACTTTGGTTCCGGCAGGCGAGCTACAGCCGTCGGGCTCCGGGCCCGAGCTGTGCGCCCAGCTGCTTGACTAGGTCGACCCTAGTTCCCGGACGCGTCGCCACCAGCCTGCGTTCTCCCGTCTCCGACGTGTCCACGCTCCTCAAGCCGAAACCATCACGATTTGGTAGGGCTTTTCGACGTGTCGCCAGCAGCCAGCGTTCCCTCGTCCTCGTCCAGCCCACGCATTGACGCAGGAGTCACGGCGTTCCGGTTTCTCATCACCGCCGAAAACCAACTTGTGGGTGAGACTGCACCGATACTCTTGCGCTACTCCCATCACTCAGCCCCTTTCGAACGTTAGGTTTAGTTACTGACTTTGAACGTTCTTGTTGGGTGTTTACAGATGTGTTTCGTCATGTCCAGTCAACTGTTTATTAAGTGTTTTGTTTTGTGAGGAATCTTTGCCTTTTTACTTTTCAATTAAACTTTTTGTGTGTTTCTTGGAAACCGAACGGCTTTGTCCTTATTAGAAAAACTCTCCGGGGCTCAGCCCGGGAGAAAAACAAATCAGCAACAAGAACCCTGCTTCACAAATTGGCGTCCGCAGCGACAGGACAAAGTCGTTTGTTTTTCCAGTAGATTTTTTTGACGCGGTTAACACGATGACGAACACGTGGGAGTTAATTGAGTTGGCGGATAAAATGGGACTGACGGGAGCGGAGTTTAGAGTATGGTACGCGGAGCGGATGGAGAGGGAGCGTGAGGAACGGGCTGCGATATGTGACGCTAAAAAGCAGCAGATTGCATTGCAAACACACGCTAAGAGAGAGGAGTTCGAGCGAGAAACACGGGCTAGGAGAGAGAAGCTCGAGCGAGAGACACGCGCTAAGAAGGAGCAGCTTGAGCTAGAAATGCGTGAAAAGAAAAGGCTGCTCGAGATAGAGATGCGCGAAAAGAAGAGACTGTTGGAACTAGAATATGAGGATTTGCAGCAGTGGCTTGAGAGGGAAAACGCTGAATATACGTGGTCTGAGAGCCAGAGTAGTCAACCAGTGGATGAGGTGTGCTCTGAAAGCAGTTACATCGGGAGCGATTTGAATTTACGTGAGACTGACAGAGACTGACCCTGTACCTCGTCATGACCTTTCGCTAGAGAAAGAAACTCTGAAAGAGTATGACAGGGAGGTAAACAGTCAAAAGACTAGGAGACTCGATAAGCTTATTGAAGCGCAGGAATGCTTCGTGAGCATGGAACAAGAACGTTCCATTCAGAGTAAAGGGTATTTTGAAACCTGTGAGAGGTCAAGCGCACTTTATTCAGAGGTAGGATTGCCTCTGAATAGCTCCGCTGAAGGAGCAATAAAAGGTCTCCTAGGTAATGCCGGCGAATGCCATAATGAAAGCTCTGATGTAGCAGCTACCTATTGTTTTGGGCCACTGGAGATAGCAACAGACGCTACGGACATGGTTTTTCACCATGATTATAACTTGCCCATACAGAGAGATGGCTTGTGTTCTCGGGAAATTGTAGATGATGCTTTTAGAAGAATATTGGAGCAAAATGCAAAAGCACTTGTTGAAGAACAGAGAGTAGAGTTGCAATGTAGGTCAGCTATATGTGACAATGAGGGTAATCA